GCTATGGCGTCTCCAGGCTTCGGCATGTTGAGCAACCCAACCTCTGAGTGCCAGGCAAACAAACCAGCTCACATGGCAATTGCAAACCACCAGCAACGCGGCGCTCCCAAATTTCCAAGAAACTATTGAATGGTGACCATGTCTCACAGCAGGCTGTCTCTGACGTGGCATGCGACACCTCTAGGCAGCAAGCGCCATGTTTACAAGATATTCACAAGAATGCCACACCTTGTCCCCCCAGTATTTCTGCACAGGAAAGATGACTCAAAACACTTACCACTAATCCGGAATCACAGGCACACAATGCATCCTAAGACAACCCCCCAACGAGCGACAAAAACGGGGAAAAACATGAGGATGCATTGCAAATCATGACCATTTGCACCATCTTCCAAGCAGGATTACTTCTTGAAGCCAATTTCCTTTCTGCCCAATGGGGTTCGCTCCCTATTAGACCTCCAGCGGACCAGGGCAAACATGAATCTTAGGGAGCACAGTTTCCCTTTGGGGATCCTCAAGTTCATTCCCAAAATCGAACCAGCGCGACAAAGGGGGCTAGTTCATTGTAGGCGGAACTTGGACGGACAAAGCGTCAAGTGGCTACGCTTGCCATGCAAGTTGCTAACCACTCAGCAATAGCCCGTGTTGGGTGGAGGGCATTCATTGGCTTTTGGAGGCATGGGCATGGATGCTTGCTTGTCACATGTGTAACCAATATCTTCGCTCGCAACGCAGCATATATAAACAAAAATGATGTATATATATATATATAAATACAAACATATAAAGATATTCCCTTCACAAAACAACACGCCTCCGCTCTTGGACAACACTCGTCCCTGGTCCGATTCCCGGGCCCCCGGCGGTTTGGGAGCGCCGGGCGAAGGTGGCCAACGGCCCAGAGCTGAGGTCCGACGCCACAGGGTCCACCTGACGGAAAAGGGAACCCTGAGGGCATCGAGGAAGGATCTGCTCTTTTTTTTTTTGCGCGGCTAAGGGAACCAATTGCTTGGGGAGTTGGGACAACTGCGTGGATCCGCGCCGCAACTTTTGGACGCAATCGGAGCAAAGGAAAACCAAAAAGACAAATGCACCCCTATGGCGCAATTCGAAAAACGGCGGCCAAAAAGGAGCAATCCAACATCACGGGCAGCAAGCTACAGGCAAACTGCAAAGCTTGTATCAAACCAATTTAGCGACCCTTTGTGAGAAAGAAACGGATACGCTTGGATGAAAGTAGACCCTCTTTGCCCTCACGCCTGGCCAATGTGAACCCACCCTGAGGACGGTTTCTGCGCAATGCCCCTTTACCACAAAGCGGGATTTAAGTTGGTGCTTAAAAAATAAAGTGTAGGGCTAGTGGTTTTCTTTTTGCGTCCACACAAATCACACGGATCAGTTTTCGAGCGCGATCGAAAATATAAGCGCGCGCTGTTGCGCCGAACTAGATGCAAACAAGGATTGATGGTCGCGGAAAACCCTTTTGTGATAGCAAGGTGGTTCCCATCCTCATGAACACTTTGTAAGGGGATTCCCTTGGCACAGAAGCGGGTCGCTCTGGCCAGATCTTCCAACCGCGTTAGTGCTTTCAGTGCTTCCTGCGCAGCAAGAATAACTTTGCAGGTGCCGACCTTCTAACAGCTGCGAGCGCCAGCAGAATATTTCGTTGAATCGGCGCTGAGCTTGTTTGACAATTTGGCAACCCCACAAGTAAAAAAAAAGTAACGGAAAGACCCGAGTTTCTGACTTGAATGCTCCTAGAAACCGTTGAAACATCGGGCACAGCGTGCCACTGCCCTTACAAACTCCAAGTAATTCAAACGAAGCGCGCCATGATTGCCACTGAAAGGATTTTTCAGCATTGGTTGCCGGGACAAGTGAGTTTTGCTGCTAGACCATGGTACCACGTTGCAAACGAAGAAAGAGACTAGGGAGCAGGAGAAGGAGAAAAAGAAGCAGCGGAAGACACAAATAAACACCTAACCAACCAACCAACCAACCAAACAACCAAACCAGCCAAACAAACAACCAAACCAACCAACAAACACCTAACCAACCAACCAAACCAGCCAAACAAACAACCAAACCAACTAACAAACACCTAACCAACCAACCAAACCAGCCAAACAAACAACCAAACCAACCAAGAACCAAGAAACCAAGAAACCAAGAAACTAAGAAACTAAGAAACCAACGAACCAAACACCAACGCAACATCATCTCACCAAGGGTTCCTGTGGAACTCTGTTACGCAGGGGCTCCACGCAGCGTCATGCAGGACTCTGCGCGCCTGGAATGCTTTCGCACGAGAACAAGCGCTTCGCTGCGCTTTGGCCTCGGCCTCAACGGCCTCCACTACTGGAGCTCACTCGCCTAGGTGTCTGTTTGAGGAACCTAAATCAACCCCCCTGGGCCAGGCAATCATTCGGAAATCAGCGGCCAACATTCGGTAGCTCAAGTTCGGCGGGGAGAATCGGCGGCCTTCCATCATCATTTGGGCGACCAGAAGCAAAATGTTCACATTTTGAGGCTGTGACCAAACATGGACGAAATGTGGGAAGCCCAAAGGTCAAACGGTCGGCAAGTGAAATGGTTCAGTGTACTGTGACTTGGGTAGGGTGGACACGTTCAGTCGAAGATGCTAATTGCTCTGAACCGACTGCGCGCCAAGACTTGGAAGGGAACGTAAGGTTTGGCCGCCCCCGCAAATCTTGCCCAGAACTTGCCAGCCCCTGTTTAGTCTGCGATGGCAACACCTGGAGTTAGTATCAACCAAATGTGTTATTGAAAAAAGCTGTGGCAATTCCATCTAAAGCGTCTTCACGTGTTCATGTTGTTGCCGATCCACTCAAAATGGCTGGCGCACACAACTACCAAATTGTCCTGTAAGCGGTGGATCGGTTGGGGCATCGCAAATGGTTAGCAGTGGTCATAACCAACTTGCCAGCCTGGCAGGATAGTAACCAGAGGGACACAAGGCATTTGGCGAAGTCCCAGACCATCGAGTCACGCGATTGGAGTCGCCATCCCGGATCGGATGGAACCAGCCTCCCCGGAGGGCTCCCGAAGGGCATCCTTCAGCTCCAGCGCCTCAGCGACACGCACGAAAAAAAATCCCTTTCCCAAGGGTTGGAACGCCCCAAATGGTTGGACACGCATCCCCCACCTTTTCCTGAGGAAAGGGCCAACGGTACTAAGTGGAAATCCGCTTTGTTTGGGGGGGATTTCTGTTGGTTTCCGAAAGCCACCCAACTAGGCTTCAACATTTTGAGCAACCCCCCCAGGAACATAGGCCGAAGAGGGGTGGTGTTGCCATGAAACAAGGGATCGTAGATGAGCATTACCCTTCCTCCCGCCCACCAACACAGAAGTTGACCTCAGGAAAATGGCCCAGGAGAGTACCCACCACCCATTTACCCACAGATGAAGAGAATCGCTTTCCACAAGGAGAACAGCGGTGATACACCGTGGCGAAAGTAGTCGCTGCCATCAAAACTTTCCCAGGCTCTTGGCCTGAGGTTGCAAATTAACATCTTTGGCGAGGTCATAATTGATTTTGCACTTATCACTGATCATCATCCCGAACTAAGGGGGTCAGCTTCCACCCCAAACCATTGTGCCGCAGTTAGCTTCACTTATGTCTTATGGGCTTGTTGGCATCCTTGTTTTTGTGTCGGCATTCTTGGTATTCATGTTTGGCTCCCCGGCCAAACTCGCAGTCCTGGACATGTGCCAAATCGGCATTGGAATTGGTCTTTCAAATACCCTCCCGCACATGCATCTTTCAACACCCGAGCGAACAGCACAAAAGGGTGAACATCAAGGAAACCAACAGGCAAGAGGGCCAATAAATGAGCGACGTCTAGCCATGAAACAAGTCTCTCCGGCACCTGCCTGCCTCCGCTAAGGCGCGGGCCCGGCGGCGGAGGCTGGCCGCCACGGTGGGCTCCTACATCCGGACTGCACGACAATCGGGGGCCGGCACTTGGTCGACCTGTTGAGGTTTTTGCCAAGATCGGGGGATTTCCAGCCACTTCGGTCTCTTTTTGGCGAATTTGTTCAAAGTTCAAGTCCGCAAGGCTGCAAAGAGTTTGGTAGAGCTTTTGAGCTTCAACTCCGATTTCAATGAGGCGATTTGAAGTGCAACATAGCACAACGTAGCACAAACCGAAGGCCTTGAAATTAGCCATCCTGATCTGGGATAACCCACACCATAGAACCAACCGCGTCTCTGGGGATGAATGACGATGTGCAGCAGCACTTTTGGATCGGACAGGTGGACGCACCTCTTGATCAAGCCTTATGGGAGTTGGCGTATCTTGGCCTCGTTCAGGGCAAATCCATGATGGCCCCCCTTGTAATGGGTCCATGGCTGACGCATGCCCAACGAACGTGACACGTGTGGAGACCACAACTTGATTGGACTACTCCCGCGTACATCAACTTGAAACACTGCACCAACAATGGAACCCAAGGGATACTGTGGATGGACGAAATGCTGCGCCACCTAAGAAACCCTGGAACCATGTTCTTTTTTGCAAATACCAACACACAATTACTTCCCATGGTTTCTAAGTGGTGCCTAAGAGGATTTCACAACCATCCACAGTACTGATGGTCGTTTGCGGGAGGTAGGAGCTGACTCACGAAGTGCGCCTGTTTTGGTCACGCATCGACTGGAGGGTTTCTGCTATCCGCGGAGCTTCGAGTCTTTTGGGGCGGCCAAAAGCTCCCGCAAAAGCCATGGAAGTCAACAGCTAGGGCTAGAGAAGCCACTTGGAAGACTCAGAAGCGCACTATGCATTCAACGTGCTCCTTGCACCGCCCCCCAGATTCCAAGCAACGGACTCGCCCAAAGACATCTCAGGCGCGCGGCTTGACCGCAGTTGAGGCCTTCAAAAACGAAGACGATCGCCAGGCCCGCGCTCAACAAAACCTCGCCAACCAAACGAAAAGGAATTTGGGCCCTGCAAACACGCGGTCAAGCCCGAGCGACTTGCTCACAGTTCGCCCTTGGGCGCGTCGGCATCGGGCTCGTTCAGAACGTTAAACCTGGGCGTGCTGCGGACTGATCATGTCATGACGGTCCCTGTGCCCAGAAGATGCCAGCATGCCGCAATTTCAGAGATGAAAACATGTTGTTTTCTGAGTCATCCCTCGACAAAAAAACTGACCGCACAACGGAAGCCACCAACGTGTTGGCCCTCCATCAGCATCACGCGGGGAATCAGCCAAGAGGTCACTTCCCATATCTGTTGTTGTCTTTTCCAGCTTTGGCAGGCACCATGACTTGGAGAGTTTGCGCCGCTTCCACGACTCTCAAAGTGACACCAAGCACAAAAAAGACACTGCATTCTCAATCTTACTTGTGCAAAGGACCTAGAGTACACTACAAATCGACAGAACTTGGAATAAACAAACCAAATTCACACAACAATTGCTTTGGCACCTTGTAGATTCTGACTTCTGACATATCCACTCATTTGGAGCATCCCGTCGAGTGTAAAACAAGCAAGCTCATCCACAACTTTACAGCTGCGAAGAAAACGCGGGTAACTGCGTGATAATGCAAGATTCATACTACGTTGACCACTTTCGGGCCTGTCACTAAAATGAAATGACAAACCGGGCACCACTGACCCACGATTCCCATCCCATATCAGGAATAGAATCCTTGCTCAACAACATTCTAGCTATGGATCAGGCAGGAGGGGTTCCTGCAAAAAAGGAACCCGTACATAGAAAAGGGGACACCAAGTGTGCAATCGCAAACGGATGCCCTCTCATCGGACTTGTTGCTGGTTTGGGATCTGGCGCAAACCAACTTGACCGATTGAAGCAAAACAAAGCTAACAAGAGAAGGAACTCTGGAGCAGGGGACTTGATGAATCAATCACGCGATTCTTCATCTTCTGCTGCGCTGCTTGAGGTGCATGTTTTGTCGCTTGATTTTTGACACGGGAACTCCAAAAGAACAAAAACGGGCCCGGCAGCAACTAGTTGCAATTGCCTAAGGGCTCAACCACGTGCCCTGGGAGGAGGCGCCACGGACGAGACCCATACTCATGGGCATGCGGCTTTGCCAGGCAGAACCTTCGGGACCCAGAAACCCTTCCTTGGAACTTGACGCTTTGACTCAACATGGGCTGGTCGCCAGGCAGCTGCTGGATGAAGTCCACCACTGCTTTGACGCTCCACTTGTCTGGAGTCGCGCCCTGAGAGATGGCCTGGCGCTTGCGCCCGGTGGGCAGGGTTTCCGCCGGGCAGGTCCCCAACCACGTCTGCCACCCGTGCAAACCCCGGTAATGCTCTTGGAAAGTACCTCATCATCGCTGCAATGGCTTGGACTAGGCGTTCGTTCCTGAACTGTGGGAAGCTTATCAGGCACATACTTGTATTAGGAAAGTGACAAAGCACCGGACCACATGCAAAACTGGTAATGGTGTCACCGATTTTGACACATTCTCATTTGCCACAACCAAAAGTGGCACACGGTTCTACTTCTGCTGTTTGCTTTCGCATTGCAAACAAAAGCGGATACTTTTTTTGGTTGGTCGCTGACCTGCTGTTTTCACTGGCCACAAAAAGCTTGGAACTTGTTGCGCTTTGCTGCAATGATGGAAACACTAATCAACGTTTATCAACTCCACTGGGCAGGTAGTGGAGCCCGAACACTTCAAGTGGGGGAATAAGATAAATTGCGTAGTTCGCCACACATTGCCAGTTTGTGGTTGAATGCGGTTCGTGCACTTGCAAAGTTTGTGGCTTCCCAGGTAGCACGAAAGTCAGAACGCCGGGCCTTGCCGTGCATGTAAAGCTCAAGGCTGGGCGCGGTCACGCCAGCCTCACCGGAAGCAGATGGGATCAGGGCTCCTCACCGGGCAAACAGAGGCGGGGACGTAAGAGCGGAGACGTGGATTAACATTGCCTGGCTGGTCCCAGAACCTGTCACCATCCTTCATTCCTGCTTCTTCTGCAGAACGCCGCCTTCAATGTGCCCCACAGGCGTTCTGATGCAAACCTGGGGCATTCACCGGCCGAAAGATGGATGCGCCACCCCTTGGCTGATTTCAGGATCCATTTGCCCATTTGCCCCTTTGCGTGCGACGTGGGGTGGTGTGTGTGTATGTGTGTGGGAATTGCCACTTTGGGTCACAGAAAGGGCGACTTTGCAAGAACCATCCCAGGGCCTGTGTGTGCGCGTGTGTGCGCGACGTGTGCTCTCTCATCGGGCATCGATTTTGGCAGAAACTCTGTCACCCAAAAGCCAAGAGGGCTCACCGAAGTCAAAGGCGCAATTCACCAGGTTCCAATACTCATGCTTTCGGAGGTCAGGGAAGCTTTGGGACCCCTGCCCAAAATCCAGGTTCCCCTGGCAACATCTCACATGTGCGATGTCTCGATAAACTCCTGGGCACACCAAGGGTATCTACCCCAGGCGCACATGGTTCAGCCCTCAGACTTTTTTTTGGTGCCCATCAATTTTTGCCTTTGCGATCCAGCCCACTGTCATGGTCTATGACTTAGCTAAACGGTTGGAAACCATAAGCCCGTTTTGTCCCAAACCATCTGGAGCACCCAACAAAAACCCAATACGTCCCGGCGATCCGCCTGCTTCATGATGTCCGGCAGAAAGGCCACTGCCGCGACGGCTACTGGCAAACGGATTGGCATGAATGGGCACACGGCCAAACTGCTTGCTTCGGTCTAAAACCATCTTCTCCAAACGTTTTTACCCCCAACCAAAGCATGATTTTGAGACATGCAAGGTCGACCTTTGGGATGATCAAAGCCGAAACAAAACGTTCTGATCCAGTGGATTCACTTCAAGCGAGCATAGCATAGTGACTTGGACAGCCATTTCCCTGCGCGCAGACTTGTTGCGATCAAGAGCATTAGAGTGTTTTGCATTTCTCCATTCCGGCCAAAAGGAAAAACCAAGACCACGACTTGTTCAATGTGTCAGCATATTTCATCATGTTCATCATCATGTTCATCATCATTATCATCATCCGAGCTCTTCCCGCTTGTTGTTTTCAATCATGTTTTGAGTGTTTTATTTTTTTGATTTTATCCAATTTTCAATTCTGGCCAGAAAAGAGAAATCGAAAAAATGAAAATTCAAGACCATGATTCTTCCCGAACGCGTAGCGCAGGGTTCCCATTACTAAGTGGGGTCTGGGGGTAAGGTCGTGTTCGCTGGTCGGCTCGCGCGTGGCCGCAAGCGTCCGCAAGCGTCCGAAAGCGTTCCAAAGCATGAGGTTCCTGCATGAGACTCCGTTGTAGTTATGCTGCCAGACCTGAATCTTTGCAAACGGGCTGTGGCTCGACAAATGCCATTGCAATTGCGCACTCGGCGGCGCGTTTTTGGCTCACTGGTCCAAAATGCACTTTCTCAGCGTCTGGTCGCTGTCCGAGTCTGGGTCTGCCATCTTCGCCGGCAGGTAGCTGCCCGTGAGTCGCTTCGGGGTCACCGAGTAAAGCTCGGTCCCGTGCATGACCAAATAGGAGCCAAACTCAGCCTCGAAAGGCGGGAAATCTGCCCCTCACATATGCGGTGCGTGAAACCGAAGGGGCAAGTGCGGCACAACACTGGCACATTTTCTGCTCAGAAGCTCTCCAGAGAAGTGTCGGGTAGAAGTGTTGCTCAGAAGAGTGGATCACACGTCTTGCTCAACAATGCCTCTCAGAAGTGTTGTTCAGAAGTGTCGCTCAGAAGTGTTGATCAGAAGTGTCGACTAAAAATGCCGATCAAAAGTGTCGCTTTGAAGTGTTGCTGAGAAATGTCGCATGGCAGTGTCGAGTAGAAGTGCCGCGCAGAAGTGTCGTTTGGAACGATTGAATATGTCGATTCTCAAGTAGAAGTGAGCTCAAGTGTCGCTCAGAAGTGTCGATTGACCACGTCGATGAGGAGTGTCGCTCAGAAGTGTCGCTCCGAAAGGTCGATCACAAGTCTTGCTCAAACATGTCTCTCAATCGTGTCGTTCAGAAGTGTCGCTCAGACGTGTTGACCAGAAGCGTTGATTAGGAGTGTCTATTAGCAGCGTTGCTCAGAAGGGTCGCTCAGCAGTGTCGAGTAGAAGTGCTGCTCAGAAGTGTCGCATAGAAGCGTCGCATCGAAAAGTAACATTTGCACATATTCTTGCACGGACTTTTTGGAAAGGATGTGTGCATATATGCATGTACAAACCATCGCCTCGTCGAGAACGTTTGCAGAGGTTAACGCATGTAATATGCAAAACATACACGACATACATAACACACACACATTACATACATAACAAGGTACATACATACATACATAAATACATAAATACATTACATTACATTACATTACATTACATTACATTACATTACATTACATTACATACATTACATACATACATACATACATACATACATACATACATACATACATACATACATTACCTTCAACGCCCGTCGTTAGCCCAAGAGCAACCAGGCTGGGCTGCCAGGGGTGTCGGCTCGCATGCTTGCAAGCCACTTGCGTGTGGACGCATCGAGCTACAGCTGCGAGGACCCCCCCAGCACAGTTTATGGTTTGGGTTTCTGGTTTAGGGTCTAGGGTTTAGGTTTAGGGTTTAGGGCTTAGGGTTTAGGGGCGGCGGCAGCGGGGCAGTCGTCGGTGAGCAGCCGGGCGAACGATGGGAATTGGCCGATACATTACATTACATTACATTACATTACATTACCTACATTACATTACATTACATTACATTACATTGCATTGCATTACATTACATTACATTGCATTACATACATATATACATACATACATACATACATACATACATACATACATACATACATTACATACATTACATACATACATACATTACATACATTACATACATTACATACATACATACATACATACATACATACATTACATACATACATACATACATACATTGATTACATACATACATACATACATTACATTACATTACATTACATTACATTACATTACATTACATTACATTACATTACATTACATTACATACATACATACATACATACACACACACACACACACATACATACATACATACATGCGTACATACATACATACATACATACATAGATAGATACATACATACAATACATTACATTACATACATACATACAATACATTACATTACCTTACATTAATACATGCATACATACACAATTACACTACATACATACATACATACATACATACATACATTACATTACATTACATTACATTACATTACATTACATTACATTACATTACATTACATACGTACATACATACATTACATACATACATACATACATACATACATACATACATACATACATACATACATACATACATACATACATACATACATACATACATACATACATACATACATACATTACATACACACACATACATACATACATACATACATACATACATACATACATACATACATACATACATACATACATACGCACATACATACATACATACATACATACATACATTACATACATACATACATACATACATACATTACACTACATACATACATACATACATAAATACAAACATACACACATACGTTACATACATACATACATACATACATACATACATACATACATACATACATTACATACATACATACATACATACATACATACATACATACATACATACATACATACATACATACATACATACATACATACATTACATACATTACATACATACATTACATTACATTACATACATTACATACATACATACATACATACATACATACATGCATACATACATTACATACATACATACATACATTACATACATTACATACATACATACATACATACATACATACATACATACATACATACATACATACATACATACATACATACATACATACATACATACATACATACATACATACATACATACATACATACATACATACATACATACATACATACATACATACATTACACTACATACATACATACATACATACATACATACATACATACATACACACATACATGCACACATACATACATTACATACATACATACATACATACATTACATTACATTGCATTACATTACATTACATTGCATTGCATTACATACATACATTACATACAGACATACATATATTAGAATACATACACACATTACACTACTTACATACATACATACATACATACATACATACATACATACATACATACATTACACTACATTACACTACACTACACTACACTACACTACATTACATACATACATACATACAGACATACATTACATACATTACATTGCATTGCATTGCATTACATTACATTGCATACCATGCATGCCATGCATACATACATACATACATACATACATACATACATACAAACAAACATACACACATACACACATACATTACATACATACATACATTACATACATGCGTACATACAGACATACATACATACATTACATACATTACATTACATTACATTACATTACATTACATTACATTACATGACATTACATTACATTACATACATACATTACATACACACATACATTACATTACATACATACATACATTACATACGCACATACATTACATACATACATATATTACATACATACATTACATACATACATACATACATGCATGCATACATACATACATTGCATACAAACATACATAGATACATACATACATAACATACACACATAGATTACATTACATTACATTACATTACATTACATTACATTACACTACACTACACTACACTACACTACATACATACATTACATACATGAACAACCATGTAGGTACATGACTATGTACAAGCATGCATACATTACATAACCCAAACATGCTTGCCGGAGAGGAACTGGTGATGCTGAGGATGTGGGAAGCCAAGGGAGTACAAAGCCACGACCAGCTGGTGATGCCACGGGTGTTGGAGTGAGAAGCTGTGGATGTTGTGTTGACGAGCTTGTGTAAGATAAGTGCGTTTCGTGAGTGAGAAGCTGGGGATGTTGATGGAGAGAGCAACGGCCCGGTCGGCTGGCCAACCGTGGCCCAGCTCGGTCAACCGGGCGCCTGTCTGCCGGCCAACTGTGTTGACCGCACAGTCAACCGGAATTCGGCTGACCGGGACGGTCAGCCCGGTTGCCCGGTTGACAGTCAACGGGCACCCGCCACCGCGCTTCTGGAATGTTGACAGTTCAGGTGCTCACTCACCAAAAAGGGTCCTGGACCAGCGATAACCGAGACTCAAACAAACAGGTTGGTCGGAATGAAATGACTGGTTCCGCAAGTGAAAGGCTGACTGACCTCTCTTGGGCTGTCATGACTACATGTCCTGGCGCACGAGCGGTTCAACAGGTTTATAAAACACCCTTACCTCACCTGCACCGCAACCCACAAATGCTTGCCGACTGGTTTTCCGGGTGGGTGCACAGATTTTCGAGCGGACGATCCAGACATCTTCTGGCAAGACCAGGACCGCGTTTTGGACAGGTGCAAAGTGGATGTCCGGAAAAGTCCGACTTCACAAACATGGGCATGTGCCAAAACTCGGGGCTAGTGTCCAGAATGATTTCAATTGTCTCAGCCACACAGAAATCAACGTCTGGGCAGGGCTCCAGCATCCGGGTAAAGGGACCCTCTTGCATATATGTTCACTATGGCGGGAGCGGGGCATTTTTGTCGCTTGAAAGCGGGGCGGCTATGCTGTCCATTTACGTGGGGAAACAGCGGACTTTGCTGACCCCTGCTCACCTGGGAATCTAATGCGAGGGGATGGCCCCTCCGAGTTAGACATTTTGACATGGAACCAAGACCGCGGTGCGCAGCAGCCGCTTCTTTCAGTGGGAACCCAGAACCCAGTTGATTTATAGATCTCCTGTTCGGAAGGACGTCCTTCACTTTTGGGGGAATTCACTTGCCTACACATCCTCCAGGTTTGTAGTCTAGTCCTGTGCCTGGTCTCAACCACAGGCAAAAAAGGACAAAGTGAAAAGCCCTCAAATCGGCCCACCCCCAGTCCTATCTCGTCGCGGTCTGCGTCCTCGCCCTGGAAAAGCCTCCTGGGTTGCACGCTTTGGCAATGGACACATGCCCATTTTGGGTATCTGAGACACCGTTTTCCCTTTGGGCAAGTTAGCAGGAACAACGTCATTTGGTTTCCCTTGAAAAAATCAAACATGTACCCCGCAGAATAAATCAGAAAGGCATAAGGGCAATCAACGCCCTTTTTTTATAGCATGCTTAAGCGCCCCTGGTTGAAAAACAAGCTCCTCTTGCTCCGAATCGTGTCCTAAGCCAGTCTTCGTGCCTGTCACCCCTGCAAAATGTTCAATGTGAGTTTGCGGGGAACGCAAATGATCTCCTTGTTCGTTAGATCCAGGTTCAAGATTCGGGCCAATTGGCCAGACCTGGCCCTGCAAAGAGTCAGCTTTTTGCTTCTGCAAAAGCGAAGACAAAGCAAACTTAAAAGTTGTTTGTTTCTTCTCAAAAAGCAACATGAGTAGTTCAGTTTGGCAATGAGTAGTCAAGCAATCAGGGTTGGGCCACCCCTTGCTGAAACTGACTTTGACTACTGTTGTTTAAACATGCTCCTTTTGGGTTCCCTTTACTTGCTGAAGCTCAGTAGTGAATGAGGGAATGAACCTGGGTATTCCCTCAAAGGAAACCATAGGGATGGCTTCCCCTTTCTCATTTCCTGCCTAGCAAGTGTAAATCGGGACGATGCGGGGTCGGTTGACCAGGAAAGAAAGGCTCGTTTGACCCCCGCCGAGGTGCCAAATGGCCTCCATGAAGGCCTTGTGCTCCCGATCCGCCTCCCGCTTGAAGTACCCGACGATGGACACCTGGATCTGCGGGTTCTAACCAGCCCCAACCAAATTGCGAAAATGAATTAGAAGAAATTGGTTCCCACAGTCCGACTTTCTCGCCTTGCCTGGTGGCCCTTCAGAAACTTCTTGTACGTCTTCACGCTGGGGAGAACTGTGGCGTAGTGGAGATTGGATCCTGCCACGTTCTGGTGGATAATTCGGGGCAACTGTCGCCTTCTGGGCTGTCAATCAGACATTTCCAAAGAGGCTGACAAGAAGGAAACAAAAGTCAGGCAAAGTTTCGGTCATGGTTCAAACCCTCGAACGTGGTTGTTTGTCCCCATGGCCTGCCCTTGACAGGGTAAAGCGGCATCCATGACCCATAGCAATGCAAATGACTTGAACGTTTGCGTCAAAATGAGAGCCGCTGGACAGGCATGGCAAAACACGATGAACACACCGTCGCTGTCAGTAGTGTGCCTCAAAACCTCTCCGGGATTTCTTTGAAGGCACACCCGAAACCTTGTCTCTCAACGGGCCGAACGCCCCGATCTAACTGAGCTTGCCTCTCCAAGGAAGAAACTCTCCTCATGTGGTGGCTCAACCTGGCACAAGAAAGAAGACCAAGTGAAAACTGACTTGCCAATTGACTCTTGCCCATTGCCGGTGAAACTAAACACCAACCCCACCAAGTTGACTATTCAATGCAATTGGGAAACCCTGGGCTTGAACATAGACAACAAACTTGGGGGGAAGCCGAATTCCTTGCCAGGACCGCATAGCCGGTCCTTGCAGAACCGGTCCTTGCGCATCCTCGCCCATGTACTTTGTGAGCATCCACTTCTGCCCGTCCGGGCTACCCTGGTACTTGTCTCGGATCACCTCGAAATCCTGGAAACAGCAAACGGAGCTTGATTTCGCATTGGCCACCAAAATTTCGAAGTGACAGGGTTCGTTTGCTGGTCCCGACTCGCAGGCATGTTGGGTCCAGGCCCCGAATAATGGAGGGTGGGTGCGGAAACATCAGAACACTTCCTCATCCTCTTTCGGTTTCTTTGCGGAATGGTTGACAAGCACGGGCTATGTTGCACCCAACTGACATCCTGGCTTGGCTCACGTTAATTCTATAAACAGTGCGCAGCCCCTGGCGGTTGTGGTAAAGGATGTGGGCTCATCAGTGCACAATAGCTGCCCTCCCTGAATGGTTGTATCTGGTCACCTTTGACTACACACTAGGTGAAGGCATGCAAACGGGGGAATGACATGTGGGAACCCATAGCCGGCCGTATGCGATGCCCAGCAATACATAATTTTTTTGCGCCTTCAGATGGCGCCGAAGGGGAGGCCCAAAACGGACGCTGGCCAGTTTTCGGGATTTCACATGGGGAGTCACATGGGCGACTTCGCAAATCAAAGGCTTGGCGACGTTGTAGCATGGATGATTTAATTCCTAGACTCATCCTTTCCAATCCTCGGCATGCCCGCTGAAAATGAGCAATGCCAAACAACGGCGAAGCACCCCACCTTCGATCGATCTCGGGCGGATTCGCTCGCCTTCGGCTTCACCTCCACAGGCCTGCCGTACTTGTACATCACGTTGGTGGGCACCTGAGAGCTTCCCTCGCGACTGGGCAGCTTCCCATCGGTTCTTTGTTTGGTTCGTTACTTTGGGGAGTTTCTTTGAATCCCAGGTCCTTTCCGCACATGTGGAGTTTTCCGCGTTTTTCCCGCATTCGTGGACAACCGCCCTAGTGGTTTGGGGATTTGAAGCCCTGGTTCTCGAGGGCAAATGGGCCCCTTCTCCAAACCACCAATCCATTCTTGTTGCACCCCATACGAACAGAAAGGCTCCTGAGATGTGCGGTTTCCATTTTTCTCAACTTCAAGGAGGGCCCCCAACAGTCAACATGATCGCCCTTTACGCACTTCCTGAGTGAATCAAACCAAAATCTAAACGCGCTGACTGCAAAACCGGTCTTCCCAAAGATACCGCCGAATGCCGAGGTGCCATATTGGATTCAACCCACCTCTTCGACATGGCGCGGTCCTGGTGCCAAAGATGCCAGGGCAAGGCTTAGACCTGTTGCGAAGAGCTAACGTTTTGCTGGTATCATTTGCAGATGACGGAGCCACAATGGCAAAAGATTACAAAGCTAAGTTAAGGCTGGTCACAGGGCGCCCTATATTCTTCCCAACAAAGAATGAGTATAACTTGTCCAAAAGGTGTTTAAAAGCAGCAAAGGGGAAAAAGAGGGGACTGGGCCATGGATGCGGGATGGATCTGGAGTGAGAGAACAGGCGGCACAGGGCTGCTGATGGAATAGGAGCATGGACCAACCGAAAACAAGGGATCCGTATGAAGCCAAACCATGGGAGAGGTTTGAAAACCGAAACACAGAGTGCAAGGACGTTGCCCTTGAAGATGATGGCCCTCTCTCTCGCTTGCTTGAACCTTCGCCATCCAAAAGGGAGATCCCTCCTGTTCATCAAGCACGCAAATAAAGCGGTCACCATTCAACAAAAGACCAACACCACATTGACAAAAGCGCCAGATCCGGTCGATTCGTTTTGGCTGCAAGTGAGACATCCTGTCTGTGCAGAAGGAGGGTCTTCCCTTCTATCGAACACAACAATGAACAACATCTCATGTCTCAAAAAGTCTGTGCATTGCACGTTGGCTCCCGTTCAGGTAGACATTTGGCTGTTGGGAGAGGGAAACCACGTGAAACCATTCACCAACTTTTTTCTTGTCTGTGCCATCTCAAGGCAAAGCCAAGCAACCGGGTTCTCACCTCACCTGGGCCTCAAGTAATCCATTTCGATCCATTTAGTGGTAATACCAAAAGTGTGGTTTTCCTCCTGCTGGTTTGACTAAGTGTCTGGCCAATCCAACCAAACTTCTGGCGAATCGATCGGAAGTTCCTGCTAAGAGCAAGGCCCGGTCCCACGGTCGGGTTCTGAAGGGAAAGTTGAACCAACCGACGGGTCTTGAGAGGACACATCGCTGGGATGTGAAAAAAACTGCATCCACAGGCCGACACGTGGGGATGAGCTTTTTCTGCTTTTGGGCAGCAGCCAAAAACATTAGGGTGGCACGACAGGAGGGCTTGGACAAATCGAAAGGCATGGTTGCTTGGTTGCCTTTTGGGCAGATTAACAGTTTAAAGAGTCTAGGATTATACATTGTACAGCTGAAGAAAGAGCATCTATGAAAAAACACATTCATCATGGCTGAAATCGCATGCAAACCAAAACCGCTTGCGAGGTCGCGCTTTCAGTCCCCAAAACGCACATGTGCTCTTGGGTTCCATATCTTCCATTTGCTGCTTCGGCCCCTGGAAACAAATACACATACTTCCAGTAGGGATGGATTCCCTTTAGAACCAACAAGGGACAATAATACATAGTCTACAGCAAATGGAAGATATCGAGCAGGGCTCGAGCAGAGGCGAGCTGGCAACACTTCAAAGCTCTCCTTGTCCACATCGATGCGCCCGAAGTGGATGCGGGACCACTTCCACTCCCTCGCCAGCTGCTCAAACCTTCAGGCAGCAAAGGGTCGAATGGGGACCCAAATACCACTTGGTCCCATTTGTAGACCGAACGTAAGTCAATTGTTCTGTTGGCATGGAAATTAGAACGTACTACTACCAAGGGATTTTGTTCGTGAATCCAGGGTTCCCCTCATGTAAACAGGCAAACAAGCGGATGCTTGTCAAAGCATGGACAAGAAACTTGGCGCTGATGTCGATGTTGAGTCGACCCTTCGGGGAGTAGAAGAGCACGTAGACGTAGTCGTTGTCCTCGTCGGGGCCGGCTTCGCATTGCACATCATCAAGCTGCGATGACAAAACATACTGTGGCCCTTGCACATATCCTTCAAGTGGCTCGCACCCGCATACAATGCTACATTCAAGGTTGCCATTCCCAGACGAAAGGACGACACATGGCATTATGTCTCGTCAAGCGATCCAACTCACTCTTGTCCTGGATGAACTCATCCAGGTCATAACAGCAGGTGCACGCCTCGGCAAACGAGTCACAAACATTCTGTGGAACAATGTGGCCAACATTCCCTGCTGTGAGGAATGAGGGGTGCGCGAGCTCCTTTAACCACATAGTACGGCAGCTCCCGCGATGAACACCAAAAAGCAATGCCGAAAGGCGCCTTGTCTCAAGTCTTCCTTTCCATTCAGAGACGCCGCTGTGGCACCTACTCCAACGCACCCTCCCAGACTGAGGGGTCCTAAGCAGCTACTGTTGTACTTAGCAGTGGTTGTATCGCAAACAACAGCTATGATGCACCTACCAAAGCGAGCGTGTCAGGAATAATAACCCACCAGGAGCAGCTTGATGATCTCGACAAATGTGTCCCGAATTCATTCCTTTTTTTGGTTGAAGTGACTTGAAATCAAAGCTTTCACTGCCAGACCCCACCACCCCCCTGGCAGGCTCCGAATGGTAGCTCAAAGAGAAACCAGCGGGACCCAAGAGTAAGATTGAGAAGCCCTTGACATGTTCACTTTGAGGGAAGCGAGAGGGGGCCCCTCTCATGGGATCGATCCGCTCGCCTCGGCGGTGAACTGTACAACGGGCTCGTCTGCCAGACGCTCCTGAAGGGGAAACTCTGGATGTGCAATCGGGGTAACGTTTTTTTTTCCCCTACAGCTGAAAGCTTTGGGGTCTCAGCCCAGATAGGCTCCGGGGTGGTCCGGAGCGGCCCGGAGGTAAGGTTCCACGAGGGTTCCACCAGGCAGGGTTCCACTAGGGTTCCACCAGGGTTCCACGAGGGTTCCACGAGGTTCTGCGAACCAACCAACCAACCAACCAACCAACCAACCCACCCACCCACCAACCAACCAACCAACCAACCAACCAACCAGGGGAAGCCCTAGTAAAAAACAAAAAGTGTGAGGGGAAAAACACCGGATCCGTGCAATCGGCCCATCTCCGAAACATGTGTGGTGGTCTCTGGCCTTCTCTCTCTGTAAAGGAGCTCCGATTCCTGGGTTTCTTGGGGCTTCTGGTGAAACCAGCTGTGGCTGGTTTCGGTTTACTTGCGGTTTTTATTCTTACGATTGGAGATTGCTCAGGGTTTTTGGGGCTCTGGGTTCCTGAAGCCCTGGTCAGCTTGGCCACTCGTGCATCTTACCCCAGAGCAAAAATAAAACAGAGATCTTGCTAGTGCTCCCGTTCCGGTCCTGACATGGCTCCCCGTATACCAAGGCGAGCAGCACCAAGCACCGCCAGACCATGGGCACGAGCCGGTGCGAAGTGGACACAGGATGCCGCGTGGCTGCTTTTCCAGTTTGGAGGCTCTTCGGTGATTCTACCAAGAAATCTGTCCCGTGGCATGTGGCTGTCTGTTGCTTTCTGCCAGTTCCGCTCCGAAATCCCTGGCACGAGGGCAGACAGTTGGTACCGGGAAAAAGGGAAACCAAGGGCAAACTCACCAATCTTCAATCCCCGTAGTTTTGGCTGATCCTTTCCAAACTTCTCCGAGCAACCCTGAGCTATGGCTATGGATATTGGTGACACCATGGCACAATGCTCTTGCTTGTAGTGATTTGGGTTCAAAGCTTGTAGCTATGTTCTTGTGCCTGAAGCGAGCTAACGCGGTGGTAGCCCCATGATGCATTTGACAGCCATGTTCGCTACCTTTTAGCGGGGCTTGTAAAACCCTTGAACTAATGAAATCAAGCAAGACGGGGGAGTCAACATACATATAGGCTCCTTTGGGTTCGCTTCAACGGAGACCATCTAGGCGGCCAGCAATGACAAATCAGAATCAGGCATGCTCTACACTCATCCAGAGCCTGAGGTTTTCATATGTTTTTGCTCAACGCGAGTGGGCGGCCTGATGCTCCTGAAAAGCAGGGAATCCCAGAAAAGCCTCGATTTCAAACAATTCATTTGGCAGGTTCCCATGTTGGCCCTTATCGGATGGTCTTTGTCAGGAAACGAAAAGGACACCCAGCCACACGATCTAGTAACTCTGCGTACTAAGAACAACAAGGACAATCTCCCACTAGTTTTGGGGGATTTAGAGCTTCCCTCCCAAATGCACCGTAGCCTCTTGGACATGTGTCTGAACCTCACATACCTCCGACACCGGACAGTTCTCGGCCGTCCTCCTCATACATTGCAGTAAGCCTCAGTCGAAAGGCACATATCCGCAGACATGGACGACAATTACAACTTATAATATATTTCGTCAACTGAACATATGAAATGGACCCTATGAGCAAAAGCTTCGTGACATCGCAAACCCCAGTGACGTTGTTGTGATTTGCCCAGACACAGTAATCAGGATCAACAGTACCTCGCTTCCCCAGGTCCCGGTAATTGACCGACTGGGTGTATCTCAAAATATGGGAACCCTGAAACTGGCTATCCTTTGTATCACGTGCAACCAACCAGTGCGTGTCACTGGGAACCTGCCGGCTGCTTGTGTTGGCACCAGCCTTTATAAGCTAAACTGGCAGCAGAGGCCCCTCCCAGCGGCTTGCTTGCCCGAGGGAAAAGGGATCCAACGGACATCGACAACCCCTTGAACAATGAGTCCAGTTCAGGCAAACATTTGATAGGCCTCCATTTGCTTAAGCCTCCTGGGAAATGGGTAATACGAATCGTTTTCTTCGCACGACAGGGGTCCCACTTCGCGTTTTCGGAGCTAACTAGTTTCAAGGGAACCAGTACGTGCAACTTCTGGGGAATCCAGCCCTCTGCGCAAGGGTGCAGAAAAAGGAACCTCTCTCAGCTCAACCAGAATTGTTTTGACACCCACATTACTGGTTCTCAGGTGGCAATCAACGGTTTTGGGAACTGGGGGTCCCCTTGAAGGAAACCACCAGTTGTATAGTTCAGCGCGGGTCATTCCCTTAAATTTGCTGAGAACCAGCATGAAAGGAAGCAGGTGTGTTTCAAAAATTGGGAACCCAAACATTGTGGTTTCCCTTTCATATTAGTCCTTAAACTTTTATACCTTTGCATAGCTGTCCTCAAAATAGACACACCCACATGAAAGGAAGCAGTGGTCCAAATCTCCGAGTCCCCATCCAATTGGCTTCAAGCCATCTTGGAGCGTCTCCTCTTATGGCAAGGCTTCTATATGGGTAGCTCGTCTTTTTGGGGCGAGCCCTTCTTTCAAGGGAAACTAAAAGGATACCACCCATTTTGAGGAGTATAGAAAAACACAATTGCCTCCGGAATACCCAAAAACACCTCACTTCAACTTGTCCCTTCCCAGAATGGGGAACATCGGCTTGCCTTGCCAGTCAACCGCAATTTGGCCCCAGCTCCCAGCCCCCTGCGGTTCCCTTCCACGGGTGATTTTGCTACGAATTTGAACAGACCACCTCAAAGTTTATGTGGGACATGACCGAATCCCCACCAAACTCTGATGTCCTTGTACCGTGTGTTGTCCAATTCCTCCAGGTCTGCTTTTGCTTTCCCACAAAAAGGTCCAGAAAGGGGCTCGCTCAATGGACCCAGTCGGGCCACCCCCCCCCCCCCCCGATTCTTCCCCGCGAGTTTATCGCTCACCCCATACCCCATGTCTAGCTCGGGCCAGCGGGCGCAAAACCTGCGAGGGCCACCAGGGGCACCAAGAGCATGGGCAGCGCCAAGTACTTCAGCGCCAGCACCTGTCGACTCAGAGTCGACTCTCTCTCAAAATGGTGACCCCCCCCCGTGTAGTTGGTATTTGGAGGGAAACCAAAAGGGACACCAAGCATGTTAGGGGATGCCCATTGGGCATTGGCCACCGGCAAATTAACTGGCATCTCGAGCTGGCTCAGCGGACACTGGGTTGCTGCTTGTCGACTCCAAACGACTCGGGGAGCAACCTGCTGAGTCCTGCAGGGCGCCCCGCCCACGAAACGTCTTACAGCCATGACCACTTCTCTCCGAAAGTGCGAGAACGAAGAAATGGACACACCAATTCCACAATGAGTCTGACAAGGAAGCTGGGGCAAACAGGAGAGGTTTGTCATTTGACCTTGAGCACTTCAGCCGTCTGCCGGCCGAACCGCGCCAGGCATTCACGCTGAGCCTCAGATGAGGAACCGCACCGGTTTGATCATCCGTTTACTCGCTCGGCACCCTGAAAAAGGGCCTGCTCCGGAGGTCTCGAGCAAACAGCATGTGCCATGCGGTCCACGCGGCCAGGCCTTGTTGGCCAAAACGTCTGGTCGCCTCAACTGGTAGTTGATGTCCGCATACCTTGCGCGCGGACGGCGTCGTCAAGTTGAATCATCGTTTTGTTGGAGGCCTCCAAGACATTGACTTGAATCAGTTTGGATGCTTGATTCAGATCTTCAACTTGAACCTCCAAATAACACCAAACGTGGCGTTTTAATTGATGTCTTCATCGAGCCCTCAAATCAAGTCATGTGACACGACCTCATCTGCCTCTTTGCCAGGCAAAGCATGCACGTTGTGGAAAACGTAACATCCCTCTAAAAAAGAGAAGCAAGACATTAAAACTCCCAGAATGGTGTTCCCCTCAAACCGCTTAGGGTCCTTTGGTTGCCTTTGGGTCAGCACCAAGAAGGGCGTCAGAAAGAGCAGCTTACAAACGCAACGACGCGGCGCCGCGAGCCCGCCTGATGACCATCAGCCGATCGAAGGCGCCCCACATCCGGTACCTCAGGAATGCGAGACCCGGGGGACTCTGGCACGCTGCTTTCTTTCCATGTAGGTCTTTCCTGTTCTAGGACCACAGCCGCATGCCTCAAACTGCCAGGAATGCACTCCTCTCCATGCTCGTGAGTAAAGTAGCTCACACAGAGGCGAATGCATCTTTGTGAATCTATCCCAGAAGCCAGTACTAGGACTTTAGAAAGAAATGGCCCTCTTAAAATGACTCCCAGCCCATATACCTGACACTTAATAAGCACTCCAAACTCGTTGACTGTTGGTTCCAGCACTATGGTTCGAGATCGCCCTTTCTGCACTCCCCAGAAACTGGTTCAAAGCTTTAGACGTAGCGAGAATCTCCAGAAACCAGGTAATTCGAACCCCAGATTGAAAAATGGCAATGGAGTTCCCTCCAAAAGTGAGGAACCCCCACTACAAGCTCGCGCCCCCCCGATAAATCACCAGGGAATGCCGTGAGTTCCTAAGCCGCGCACGCCCAAAGCGCCGTAAATACGGCGCCCACCGCATAGAGGTTGGGCAAAGGTGTCTGACACGTAGCGAGTGGAAGGCTTGTTGCTTGGGAGCCTTGCAGCCATAGGGACATAGATGGCCCTGGTAGATGGTTAAACCACAGGCAAAACCGGGGCCATCTATTTTTCGACCACGACAACGAAAAAGGACACCTATGCTTGCAGCCTTCCAGACCTTCCAGTGGCCTTAGGGAAGAGAGGGCCCTACTTTTGTTGCTTGTTTTTTTGAAAGGAGACCCCTCTCCCGAAAATTATCAAAGGGCACGACTGGGTGTCTGGGGGGGGTGTACCCTCTGGGGTCCGTTTCCTTGGTTGGATCCCTTTAACAGCAACCGGTGACCCTCCATTGTCTAAGCATGGGAAAGTGGACAGCACCGCAGGGACTTTGGGGCATGGTTGGTTCCAGGCATGCAGACAAACATTGTTCAATGCTAACTAATTCCCCACTTCCAGTATGAGGGATCAATCGGGCCTTCTACATTTTTGCAGCACTCGTGAGCTCGTTCGTGACTAATAGTGAAATAACATTTTCAGGAAGTGAATCGTTTGGCGGGGTAAATGTATTCACGGTTTCTCACTTGTCCCTTGCTTGCAATCCACCACTCAAACTGAACAGGCACAACCAAGCAGGAAACACAACACGAAAACAACATATGGGTATGAGTTTTAATTGGGGACCATTTGGTGGACATCATTTAGGTGGGGAGTCATGTCCACCAATCACTTTTGAGGTGGTTCCCTGTTAAAATTCGTGGCCATATCTACCAACCACTGCGAAGAAAGCTCGGTGTGTTTTGCCAACTATGCAAACCATGGTCCTCCATAAGGTTCAACGTGTCACACATTGGCTGTGGCTCCAACACATGTACCCCAACATGGTACCTTGGTAAATGGAAACAAAAACTAAAACCAGTGCACCCCAACAAAGACAACAACCAGCGTAAACCCCAGGTCTCGAATTTTGAGCCACACATTTCAAGAGCAGCCGAGAGAGGAGGGACTTCCCTCGAGTTGGGCGGCGCCTCCGGCATGCGCCGCCAGAGCCGCAGCACGATGTCCTCCGGCGGCCCTGGCACCTGCCCAGC